CACCCAGCCTGTAGTCTGTGTTACATTACACAACAACACCCAGCCTGTAGTCTGTGTAACATTACACAACAACACCCAGCCTGTAGTCTGTGTAACATTACACAACAACACCCAGCCTGTAGTCTATGTAACATTACACAACAACACCCAGCCTGTAGTCTGTGTAACATTACACAACAACACCCAGCCTGTAGTCTATGTAACATTACACAACAACACCCAGCCTGTAGTCTATGTAACATTACACAACAACACCCAGCCTGTAGTCTGTGTAACATTACACAACAACACCCAGCATGTAGTCTATGTAACATTACACAACAACACCCAGCCTGTAGTCTGTGTAACATTACACAACAACACCCAGCCTGTAGTCTATGTAACATTACACAACAACACCCAGCCTGTAGTCTGTGTAACATTACACAACAACACCCAGCATGTAGTCTATGTAACATTACACAACAACACCCAGCCTGTAGTCTGTGTAACATTACACAACAACACCCAGCCTGTAGTCTATGTAACATTACACAACAACACCCAGCCTGTAGTCTGTGTTACATTACACAACAACACCCAGCATGTAGTCTATGTAACATTACACAACAACACCCAGCCTGTAGTCTGTGTAACATTACACAACAACACCCAGCCTGTAGTCTGTGTTACATTACACAACAACACCCAGCCTGTAGTCTGTGTTACATTACACAACAACACCCAGCCTGTAGTCTGTGTTACATTACACAACAACACCCAGCCTGTAGTCTGTGTTACATTACACAACAACACCCAGCCTGTAGTCTGTGTTACATTACACAACAACACCCAGCCTGTAGTCTGTGTTACATTACACAACAACACCCAGCCTGTAGTCTGTGTTACATTACACAACAACACCCAGCCTGTAGTCTGTGTTACATTACACAACAACACCCAGCCTGTAGTCTGTGTTACATTACACAACAACACCCAGCCTGTAGTCTGTGTTACATTACACAACAACACCCAGCCTGTAGTCTGTGTTACATTACACAACAACACCCAGCCTGTAGTCTGTGTTACATTACACAACAACACCCAGCCTGTAGTCTGTGTTACATTACACAACAACACCCAGCATGTAGTCTGTGTTACATTACACAACAACACCCAGCCTGTAGTCTGTGTTACATTACACAACAACACCCAGCCTGTAGTCTGTGTTACATTACACAACAACACCCAGCATGTAGTCTGTGTTACATTACACAACAACACCCATACTGTAGTCTGTGTAGCATTACACAACAACATCCAGCCTGTATTCTATGTAACATCACACAACAACACCCAGCCTGAAGTCTGTGTAACATTACACAACATCCAGCCTGTAGTCTGTGTTACATTACACAACAACACCCAGCCTGTAGTCTGTGTTACATTACACAACAACACCCAGCCTGTAGTCTGTGTAGCATTACACAACAACACCCAGCATGTAGTCTGTGTAACATTACACAACAACACCCAGCCTGTAGTCTATATAACATTACACAACAACAACCAGCCTGTAGTCAATGTTACATTACACAACAACACCCAGTCTGTAGTCTGTGTTACATTACACAACAACACCCATACTGTAGTCTGTGTAGCATTACACAACAACATCCAGCCTGTATTCTATGAAACAACACACAACAACACCCTGTCTGAAGTCTGTGTAACATTACACAACATCCAGCCTGTAGTCTGTGTAACATTACACAACAACATCCAGCCTGTATTCTATGAAACAACACACAACAACCCCCTGTCTGAAGTCTGTGTAACATTACACAACAACACCCAGCCTGTAGTCTATATAAAATTACACAACAACACCCAGCCTGTAGTCAATGTGACATTACACAACAACACCCAGCCTGTAGTCTGTGTAGCATTACACAACAACATCCAGCATGTAGTCTGTGTTACATTACATAACAACACCCAGCATGTAGTCTATGTAACAATACACAACAACACCCAGCGTTACATTACACAACAACACCCAGTATGTAAGTCTGTGTAACATTACACAACAACACCCAGTATGTAGTCTGTGTAACATTACACAACAACATCCAGCCTGTAGTATGTGTTACATTACACACCAACACCCAGCCTGTAGTCTGTGTAACATAACACAACAACACCCAGCCTGTAGTCTGTGTAGCATTACACAACAACACCCAGCATGTAGTCTATGTAACAATACACAAAAACACCCAGCCTGTAGTCTGTGTAACATAACCCAACAACACTCAGCCTGTAGTCTGTGTAGCATTACACAACAACACCCAGCCTGTATTCTATGTAACATCACACAACAACACCCAGCCTGAAGTATGTGTAACATTACACAACATCCAGCCTGTAGTCTGTGGAACATTACACAACAACACCCAGCCTGTAGTCAATGTAACATTACACAACAACGCCCAGCCTGTAGTCTGTGTTACATAACACAACAATACCCAGCCTGTAGTCTGTGTAGCATTACACAACAACACCCAGCATGTAGTCTGTGTAGCATTACACAACAACACCCAGCATGTAGTCTATGTAACAATACCCAAAAACACCCAGCCTGTAGTCTGTGTAACATAACACAACAACACCCAGCCTGTAGTCTGTGTATCATTACACAACAACACCCAGCCTGTAGTCTGTGTAACAGTACACAACAACACCCAGCCTGTAGTCTGTGTAACAATACACACCATCCAGCCTGTAGTCTATGTAACATTACACAACAACACCCAGCCTTTACCAGCCTGTAGTATGTGTTACATTACACACCAACACCCAGCCTGTAGTCTGTGTAACATAGCACAACAACACCCAGCCTGTAGTCTGTGTAGCATTACACAACAACCCCCAGCCTGTAGTCTGTGTAACAATACACAACAACCAGCCTGCAGTCTATGTAACATTACACAACAACACCAAGCCTGGAGTCTGTGTAACAATGCACAACATCCAGCCTCGAGTCTGTGTAACATTACACAACAACACCCAGCCTGTAGTCTATGTAACATTACACAACAACACCCAGCCTTTACCAGCCTGTAGTATGTGTTACATTACACACCAACACCCAGCCTGTAGTCTGTGTAACATAGCACAACAACACCCAGCCTGTAGTCTGTGTAGCATAACACAACAACACCCAGCCTGTAGTCTGTGTAACAGTAAACAACAACACCCCGGCTGTAGTCTGTGTAGCATTACACAACAACACCCAGCCTGTATTCTATGTAACATCACACAACAACACCCAGCCTGAAGTATGTGTAACATTACACAACATCCAGCCTGTAGTCTGTGGAACATTACACAACAACACCCAGCCTGTAGTCAATGTGACATTACACAACAACACCCAGTCTGTAGTCTGTGTAGCATTACACAACAACACCCAGCATGTAGTCTATGCAACAATACACAACAACACTTAGCCTGTAGTCTGTATAGCATTACACAACAACACCCAGCATGTAGTCTATGCAACAATACACAACAACACTTAGCCTGTAGTCTGTATAGCATTACACAACAACACCCAGCATGTAGTCTATGTAACAATACCCAAAAACACCCAGCCTGTAGTCTGTGTAACATACCCCAACAACCCTCAGCCTGTAGTCTGTGTAGCATTACACAACAACCCCCAGCCTGTAGTCTGTGTAACAATACACAACATCCAGCCTGTGGTCTATGTAACATTACACAACAACACCAAGCCTGGAGTCTGTGTAACAATGCACAACATCCAGCCTCGAGTCTGTGTAACATTACACAACAACACCCAGCCTGTAGTCTGTGTAACAATACACAACATCCAGCCTGTAGTCTATGTAACATTACACAACAACACCAAGCCTGTAGTCTGTGTAACAATGCACAACATCCAGCCTGTAGTCTGTGTAACATTACACAACAACACCCAGCCTGTAGTCTGTGTAGCATTACACAACAACACCCAGTCTGTAGTCTGTGTTACAGTACACAACAACACCCAGTCTGTAGTCTGTGTTACATAACACAACAACACCCAGTCTGTAGTCTGTGTTACAGTACACAACAACACTCAGCATGTAGTCTGTGTTACATAACACAACAACACCAAGCCTGTAGTCTATGTAACATTACACAACAACACCCAGACTGTAGTCTGTGTAGCATTACACAACAACACCCAGCATGTAGTCTGTGTTACATTATACAACAACACCCAGACTGTAGTCTGTGTAATACTACACAACGACACTCAGCCTGTAGTCTGTGTAATATTACACAACAACACTCAGCCTGTAATCTATGTAATATTACACAACAACACTCAGCCTGTAGTCTGTGTAACATTACACAACAACACCCAGCTAGTCTGTAACATTACACAACAACTTCCTAGCTGTAATTTAATCAGATGATATTAAAAACAATAATTAAAACCCAGCTTGTAATCTTTGTTATGTTGCACATGAGTTAACAGTCTTATTATAAACACAACACAGTAGATCTATCTGTATTTTGATGGTGTCTAAAGCTGACAAAAAGTCGAACAACTTGACAGTATGATTTGACGATTGATTTTAAGATAGGCCTACATAAAGCTTTGATTATTTCACAAGGGTAAACCAAATCAATTATGTACTGTAACAGAATCGGTCTGATCTACAATCTCACACCGCCGAGGGTGACAGCAACAAAACCCACAAACAAATTGAAAGTGATATAAAAACAATCAATTAACTGCCATCCTCATGAAAATTTGATTTTGATGTTAGGAGCACTGCTATGATAGTGTGACTGTAACATGTATAGGCATCAGTTAGCTGGATTCTTTCCCTAGAAAAATCACAAAATAATGGATGAAACATTTAAGTTACGATACTTTATCAAGAAACTTGATGATGAAATTATTTGACACGTACATCATTATTCTTGAAAAGAATGCTCATATTTACCTTTGGTGTTATCAGGTCTGAACTCTGTGTGGTAAATATTATCCAAGAATGTAAAATAAATATATCCGTGTTTGGAGAAGAAATTGATACCAGTCTTACAACTAACTCACACGCGGAGCATCCGTCTTATACTGTCACCCCAAGGCAGGGCCTCTGTTCCCCAAGCCTGGCCTTTTATTCTGTTGATGAAGGCCAATATTTGTCAATGTTTGAACAGGACTTCCAGGGATGGATAAATGGTATCAAAGTTGTAGGTGGATGTAGGGCCGGCGGAGGGAACAGGCACTACCTCCACGGTGAGAGCCGGTGAGCATGTGTCTCCTTGTATGCTTATGAATCAAGCTTTGAATACTGCCTCGGATCAATATCGGTAAATTCTACACAATGCTATCTGGTTTTGCAAAGAGCGAAGACAGTGCTACACATAGGATCACCATCTAAACAGAAGCTGGTAGAGCAGCTTCAGAGGACAGTGATAGTAAGGTCGGCTTACAACTAAAAGGATTCAATTAAAGATGTTCCACTGTCATGACAAGCTTGGTCTATTTATGATATCTTTGTCGACGTATTTTACCCCTCTGCCATCAGTAATAGACTTCAGACAATTGTTGACATATTTAACTCCCTTGTCATAAGTTATTGACTTAAGACAATTGTTGACATATTTTACTCCTCTGTCTTCAGTAATAGACTTCAGTCAATTGTTGACATATTTTACCTCCCTGTCACCAGTCATAGACTTCATATGATTGTTGACATATTTTACTTCCCTGTCACCAGTAATAGACTTCAGTCAACTGTTGACATATTTTACCTCCTGTCATCAGTAATAGACTCCAGTCAATTCTTGACATATTTTACTTCCCTGTCACTAGTCATAGACTTCATACGATTGTTGACATATTTTACTTCCCTGTCATCATTAATAGACTCCAAACGATTGTTGACATATTTTACCTCCTGTCATAAGTAATAGACTTCAGTCAATTGTTGACATATTTTACTTCCCTGTCACCAGTCATAGACTTCAGTCAATTCTTGACACATTTTACTCCTCCGTCATCAGTAATAGATTTCAGTCAATTGTTGACATATTTTACTTCCCTGTCACTAGTCATAGACTTCATACGATTGTTGACATATTTTACTTCCCTGTCATCATTAATAGACTCCAAACGACTGTTGACATATTTTACCTCCTGTCATAAGTAATAGACTTCAGACGATTGTTAACATGTTTCAATACAGTATGCTGTACAGAGGCTCCTAAAAATGACCTGTAGTTTATCTCTTGGAAATATTAAGCTGACTAGCAAGTAAATTCTACTTGTATCTACACAACATGAACTTTCAGCTATAATGATTTACTGAAGAGATTTATTAAAAATCCTTTTCTAATTCATCAAATGATTACAGAACCCTTAGTTATAAACATTTTACTCTTGGACCAACCTCAAAAAAATGCTATCGTTAGATAACTGCACTGCAGGGGGACAGCAAAGCATGTGGTTTTGTTCGCAGGCTTTACATAATTGGAAGGTCTGGTTTTGTCTCTATCATCCACCACAGACATACAGTTTTAATATGTTCTATGTATATCCTCTAGTGTACGTTTAAAACACAAGAGGTTTATGCAACCTGAAGGTACACCTGTGTAAAAGGTCCAATGGATCCGTATGAGATCACCTTATGTTTGTGTCAGGAAATAAAATTACATTTATCAATTGAAAATAGGTCATATAGTGGAGAAATAAGTAACAGATTTAAAGAAATAAGTCATAGAGTACAGAAAAAGTCACAGGATAGAGAAATAATTCATAGAATAGACGTCATAAGACAAAAACGGAATGGAGAAATAAGTCATAGAGTAGAGAAATATGAAATAAGTCATAGAGTGCAGAAATAAGACATAGAATAGAGAAATAAGTCAGAGTAGAGAAATCAGTCAGAGTAGAGAAATAAGTCAGAGTAGAGAAATAAGTCACATAGTAGAGAAATAAGTCAGAGTAGAGAAATAAATCATTGTAGAGAAATATGTCATAGAGTAAAGAAATATGTCATAGAGTAAAGAAATATGTCAAAGAGTAAAGAAATATGAAATAGAATAGAGAAACACATCATAGAGTAAAGAAATAATTCATAGAACAGATAAATATGTCATAGAGTAGAAAACATTTTGAGAAATATGTCATAGAGTAGAGAATATGTCATAGAGTAGAGAAATAAGACAATGCAGTATAGAAATATGTCACAGAATAGAGAAATAAGACAGTGCAGTAGAGAAATATAAGACAATCATGTGGAGAAATAAGTCATAGGGTAGATAAATATAAGACAATCGTGTGGAGAAATAAGTCATAGGGTAGATAAATATAAGACAATCGTGTGGAGAAATAAGTCATAGGGTAGATAAATATAAGACAATCGTGTGGAGAAATAAGTCATAGGGTAGATAAATATAAGACAATCGTGTGGAGAAATAAGTCATAGGGTAGATAAATATAAGACAATCTTGTGGAGAAATAAGTCATAGGGTAGATAAATATAAGACAATCGTGTGGAGAAATAAGTCATGGGTAGATAAATATAAGACAATCGTGTGGAGAAATAAGTCATGGGTAGAAAAATAAGTGACAGAGTAGAGAAATACATTATGAAATAGAGAGATGTGACAAGGAGTGGAGAAATAAGTGATAGAGAAAAGGAACAAGTCACAGGGTGGAGAAATATCAATGTGATTTAAGACTATATACCTCTTTTCTATCATTCAAGGCTTCTGTTTATTTTGGTCATCTAAAGGTAATGCCTGTCCTGTGTTTTGAAGCTATAACTTCTTTACAACTTAAATCCGTGTTTCTTCACCAGTCTTCATGCAGGATAAAGCTATGAGCTGTCAGACCTGGCATATTCCTCCTCTTCATGTAACCTTTTACTATTCAGATACGCAGATAGAGTAGAACTGGTTATGCTATTGTATGGTCAATAACAAACCACACTGTAAAAACAGGCAATTGTCATAAAACATTCCAGTGGATGCAGCCATGGTGAAGCTCTATAGGCTAGTAGTGTGTGGTGTAAAATGTCCCAATCCATACATAACAAAACAGTTTTACATCCAATTTTTAGGAAATGCTCTTAATGACTTTATCTGGCCGTCATAGGAGCGGTCTTTTTATGAGGATGGCCATTTCCTGTCCTAAAGTGACCCTCCCAATTTGACCCTCTGTAGCAGTTATTACTTCCCTCCCCAATAAAACCCTGTCCACTAGAACAATTACGCCTGGCTTCCCTGGACTTTCAGCTGCTACTATACTCCGAGCATTGTATCCCCAGGCCACATGGACCATCACTAGCCATTCTAATCTGCTTACTGATTTACATGGAAACAGTGATATGGCTTTTTTACATTACCATTTAGTGTTCTGAACTTAAATATAATTTGGTAGATCAGCAGCCAATACAAGGTTTTTCTTCAACTCCAAATACATGAGGCTTACAATCTACTCCAAAAACAAAGGTTTTATAACTCCCAATACCAGACTTAAGGTAGCGAGTCCCAGCATACAACCATGTAACTGCAAATATAAAAGACTATATAATATAAACTCTATCTATTCAACAATAATTACGAAACAAGTTATTTCAACTCATATTAATCACTCTTGTGTGCTCAGGTATGTAACTCTTGGAAAAGAAACCACAATGCCTTTTTATGTCCCATAAGGGAATAAAAGCCTGGCTGCTTTGGTGAAAGATGAAAGTGTTATTCACTGCGCTTCCCGATCTCCCTAAAAAGAGCTGCAATATGAATCACCATTTTTCTGACAAGAAATTTCTTGCCTGTAAACTATTGCATATAGATATGTATGAAAGAAAAATACTTATTACAAGTTCCTTTTTCACCAAAAGAGGCCAAGAAGTCTAAAGAGTCAGAAAATACTCTTCATGCTACACTTAGTTGGGGCAGAGTTTTAAATCTCTTTAGCAAAAAAAACGAGCATAGTTGTACAAAATTGTGTGTCAGACGTTCTATCAAATAGTTAGTTTGTGGAAAAGCCTGTGGAATGGGGAGCTTTGGGAAATTAAAACTGCCTGTTAGAAACACCAGTGGATAGTTGGCTGGCTTAGAGCTTATGGTGTGGGGTAGCCATTTGGGACTGCAGATAGGCACAACAATTAAGACTATTTTACCATGATATGATAAAGAACAGTTGCTGGAAGAATTGAGTCAACAGCTGTATCACTTCTTCAGAAATGTTTGAAATGCCTCAGACAGTTACAGTTCTTGGTGCAGGGGGGAATATATAAGTCTGCCATTCTGGTAACAATTCTAGTTTGTATTGAATCTGCAAGGAAATACAAATTTGGTCAGGACCAGATGTATTTGATCTCTGCCTCTTCATTATAGAGCAGAAAGTATATATCCACTACACAACATGTACAGCTCATGACGTTTGTTATGCATGGAAGTACATTTTTACAACATTAATGTGCGAGTTAATTCAAAATATTATAACTTCCTTAAAAACTTAACAATTTATAGTTGTCTTCAGAAAAATATTAAAGAATCAACATAAGTTTAACAGAAAAGTAGTTTTCACATGCGTGTTTACAGAAAACAAGTGGTGGGACACTTATACCTACACATCAACTTCTACAACTCCTAGCTCAGTTAATAATGAAGTTTATGGAATCGTCCTACTGATGACGCCGATCATGACTAGAAGATCATGGCTATATATGTCAATGGAGTTTCACTGCTGTTATTTCTTAAAGCCCATCCTGTCATCAAATAATCATTATCAGCATGGCTGACAGACCAAACAGGGACTGAAACATACAACATACTCTAAATAGATACAAACTTACTCATCACAATGGCCGTGCTCGTTTCTGGAGGAGTGATGTTTCTGACAGAATATTTCCTGAGAGAGGAATGTTTTCTGTGAGAAAAAACAGTTTTCTGAGGAAGTAGTGTGATTTTTGAGCAAATATTATGTTTTCTGAAAGACAAATGCTTTCTGAGAGAGTAGTAGTTTTTCTAAAATCTGTACACAACAGCACAATAAACTTAAAGTTCTACACACCAATAACAAAGCACAAAATGTATAATAACTTCATCATACATGAATCTATTTCTACTGTTAACAACAAATGTTCAATACCCATAAAGTGGTAAGTAAGATTTTCTATCTTTAAGATATATTATATAAATATGTATAATAAGATAAGCTCTGGAGGCAGGCTCTAACATTTGTATCAAAGCGTGTCCCTGTAATGGTATTAACCAATATGCTTATCAACTAAGAATGTGTCACATCTAAGCGTCCAAGGTT